TTAGTGTAACGGTATTTGAAAAAAAAAAAAAAAAAAACTGGCCCGCTCCAGCTCTCTGCTTGTACCGAAGCTGCACACTTCCTTATTTTATGAAAAAAAAAATGTGCTCGGTTGAAAATAATTTCCCTTTCTGAAGTCCCTTTAACACTGCAGTTTCTCAGAATGATTTACAGATGCTGGTGCCTAACTATTTTTAGGAGTCCAGTGTCGCTCGCGCACTGCCTGCTGTAGTAAGCGGAATACGCCGAGTAAACTGAGCTTCGTTTTTATATTTTTAGATCGTGCTCTCTGAGAAGGCGGCAATGCCGCTTAATTACACCAGTCAGCTTCCGCCCAGAAATTGACATTCCGAGTTGGTTCCGAACACGAGGCGGAAAGAGAAAATAGGGAACGTGGACGTCTGTCGGTTACTTAAGCGCGAAAGAGAGCGGTGGCAGCGAGCATGTCTTGCGTGCGTAGTAATCGCAACAGTGGGGACGTTCGGTGCTGTAATTGAGAGCGCTCCATTCAGCGGCTAAACGCCCCAGTAAAGGAGACCTTGGCCTCGGTTCGGGCCTCAGTCATACCGCTATTGTCCTCTGCATCGATAATGAAGAGCAGGCTGCAAGTTGGGAGCCTTGCCCCTCAAGGAGAATTTCGACTGTGACAGATAATAAAATTGGACTTCCCTTGTGCTTTTTTTTTCTGATCTGCTGCCATTTGCAGGTTTGGGTTGGTTCCAGTGGGCCCACAAAAGGAGGTTCAGGCATCTGAAGTGTCTCAGCACAGCTGGGGCAGAGAGAGAGAGAGATGCTTCTTTGAGCGAACGCTCCCAGCACATGTGCACAACAGAAGCTGATACACAGGGAGCTTCTCCTCGGGCCTACACTGTGTGCTATTCTCACCAAGACACACTAAACCATAAAAGATGTGTCATCCCCCTTCAGGACTTGGAGGAACCCGGGAGAACTGGGAGATTGTTTGTTACGCAAATCTCCATTACATTTGTGTTGAGTTTGTTCTACTGAACATACTGAAATTAGTATTCATTGTCCCTTCCCTCACACACCACCAATATCACACTCACGCAAACACACAGAGACATACACACACGCGCTCACTCGTGCTCATATGCTCACACACATATTTTCTTGTTCAAAAAGCGGATTGAAGAAGGACAAAAAACATAACAGAACTCTGCCGAGATTCACATTTCCTAAAGCCTGCAATTACACTGTAAATGTAGTGGCATCTATAATATGTAGATGAGCCTGCCATTTAATAAATATTTTGTTCATATTTTGCTCCTGTTTTCATATTTTATATCTTTATATTGTGGACGTATTTATTTGTCCGTTTTCATAATTTTCACACTGAATCACAACACTGATCACATAATTTGTCTGACTGAAGGCTCCCCAAAAAAAAAAAAAAAAAAAAAAAAAAAAAAAAAAAAAAGCAGTGGATATCAATTTCCACAGGATCTCACACAGGTGGGAGGGAAAAACTACATGCTATATATTTCTTTCTTTGAAAAATGAATGAATGAATGAATTTATTTGACAAGTCTTTAAAAAATAATGCATATACAATACCAGCTCTGAAGAACATAAAAGTATACGCATAAAGTAAAAACCGTCAAGGATAACACAATAAAGCTAAAAAGCTTATTTCCATTGTGGTCCTTTGATGTTAAACATAGAGAAAGGAAAGGAAAACAGATAGAAATATGGAGAAAAAAACAAAAGCACTGGCAGAGTATGGCAGAGACAGGTTTGGCAATAAGACAGTGCTCACAATAAATTACATTAAAAATGATCATAACTAGAATCTTTCCATCATTCCAATAAAATTACCGTTTCAGGATAAATACAAACATTTTACTCTAGACAAAGTTTACATGACCTATTATACACAAATTACACGACCTACCCTCCCAACCATGAGGCCCAAGTTCATAAAAATTTCACCGAAATACCTACCTAGTATTGATTTGGAGCCACCTCTTCAAATGATTTTTAAAACTATTTAAACTTGGCAGAGTTTTAAGTTGTTTTGGTAGTCCGTTCCATTCTTTTGCAGCAGAGTATAAGAATGATTCTTTCCCTATCATGCTTTTAAATCTATAAAGAGAATTTTCGGAGCAGTTGCATGCATTACAAAAGAAATAGGCTTTAAACATGTTTGTCATAGCGTTTCAGCTGGAATAGTTTCTATCACGTAGAAGACATGAATTCGGTGGGGCAAAAAACCCCAGGCTCAGCTCTGATACTTCGTTATCCTCAGACATAAAGTTGACCGAGGGATGTTGCCATGAAGCTCGTCCATCCGTTTGTCTGTCCGTCCGTCCGGACATTCGGCGAGAAGTTTTTTTCAGAAACTAGTTTCCCTAGTTGAATAAAATTGTTTGCGCGTGTTTGTCACCAGTCGTGACCTTGATTGGGTGAGAAAATGGGACTCCGGTGTGGGGGGATATTGATGACCACGTCCTCTTGTTTTGAATGCTTTATCAGTCAGTGTTAAAATTCCTGCTGACTATGGGCAAATGTAATATTCCTAATTCCTTTCTGGTTCATTGCTATTTTAATTTGTAAAATGCTTTACTGACACCACTCAAGAGATCTACAGACTTGCTTGTTTCAAACTTTAGCTGTGTAAAATATGCAAAAAGAGCCCAAATCTCCCCAAAGGTGTGTAAAATGGTATATGGTACTAGTAGATCATTCTTCACCTTTTTATGTATAAATTTTACAAAATCACCTACAGTTTAAAATCATCCTTTGTCCACCACACCAGCCAACAATTATTCCCCGCATGACTTTCCATATGCAGCAATATACAAAATCAATATTAAATTTGAGCTTCTTCAAAACGTTTTTCTTTTTATCTACTGATTGATGTTGCCAATAACAACTTCTCTAGATTTTACAGGGGTAGCACGGTGGTGCGGTGGTTCGTTCTGTTGCCTCTCAGGAGGAAGGTTTTGGGTTCAGATCTTGCTTGGAGCCCTTCCGTTTGGAGTTTGTTCTCCTCGTGTTCGCATGGGTTTCCTCCAGGTACTCCAGGCCAAAGACATGCATGCATTATATGGTAACTGGAGACTCTGAATTGCTGCTGTGTGTGAGTGAATGGTGTGTGGGGCCTGTGACTGATTGGCGAGCTGTCCGGGATGTGTTCTCTCCTCTCGCCCATAGTCGGCTGGGATCATCTCCAGCTCCCCTGCGAGCCTGATAAGTCAGAAGCAGCCAAGATAATGGATGACTCGAGGGTTTTACCCCAATTCTGAAAAAGTTGGCGCATTATAAAAAAAATGCAAATAAAATCAACAAAGACCAATTTGAAAAGAACATTCACCCTCAACAACTATATATCCATATCAGCACAACCCGTTATTTGATGTTCTTACATATTAATTTAGTTGTTTATGGAAAATAAACAATGTAATGTCCACAAAATAGTCCAAAAAAGTTGGCCCTGTTGATTGTTTATTACTGAGTAATATCATCATGTCTTTGAATCACACTCATGAAGCATTTTCTTTCACAGAGGACATGAGTTTTTCCAAGTCTAAGAACTGGAATTTACCCCCATTCCTCCATTATGCAAGGCTTCAACAATGCAGTTTTACGAGGCCTTCATTTCTGTGTATTTTGGAGACAGACCGGTAAAACTAGCATCTGCACTCTCAGCTTACGCTGCTATGCATTTGTGAAAGGTGCAGAGTGTCGATTGGTGTCGCTGGAAAATGTGGGAACGTCCCTGGAACAGACGATGTCTAGATACCATGGCATGCCGTGACAGACGCTGGCTTTTGGACCTGATGCTGAAAACAGCTTGGATTGTCTTTTTGATCTCTGGTCTGAAGAACAAGGTGGATATTTATTCCATAAACTACTAGAAATATTGACTTTTCAGACAAGAAAAGTTACTAGCACTGTGCTACTGTCCATCTCAGATGATAATGAGCCCAGAGAACTCAGTGGCACTTTTGGAAAATTTTAATGTATGGCTTTAGCCTTGCATAGTAAAGCTTTAATTGGGATTTGTGGATCTAACAGCGAATGTTGATGACTGACAAATGTTCAGCGAAGTATTTCCGAGCAGATGTTGTGATATCCGTCAGAGCCGAATGACAATTCTCAAGAAAGAGAAATCTGAGGTGCTGGAAATCATGTGTGTTCAGAGGTGGTTTTTGACCTTGCCCTGTACGTGCCAACTTACTATATGAATTCCTTACATCTTTTAAGTATATTACACACTATAAAGGGTGAAGTGCCCAAAATTGTACTGATTGTGTTTTGGGGAAACTTGCTCTCAAAGTCCATCCATTCATTAGCTATACCACTTCTTCCTCACTAGGGTCACGGGGGGAGCTGGAGCCGATCCCAACTGACTATGGGCGAAAGGCAGGAACACGCCCCGGACAGCTTGCCAATCACAGGGCGAGCATAACATTCATACACTATTTACTCACAAACTCATGCCTATCGGCAAATTAAAGTCTCAAATTTGCGGGATCGCAATAAAATTTCCAAACTGTACCACCAGTGGCACTACTGCTATTCCCGCATGTGATTGGCTGACAACTGGGGATTAGAGGTCAATTCTCAGAATTGGAATGTGCGATTCTGGTAAACGCAGAAACCTCTTTGCTGGCAACGCAACGCCAGGTCAGTGTACAATATACGGGATTTGCTTTGGGTGAACACACACAAATATGTCTCTAGAAAAAAAATACGTGAACAGTTCTGAAATAGTAACTTGTAAACGGAAAACAAGTTTCCAACATGAGCATGCAAAGGGAAAACTAGCTTCACGCCCTGAAACCACTGACTGCACAGAGTCTATGGCTGAAACCAGAGGTGTGTGTCATGAAGCGAGTATTCTGGTGCCACCCTCAGCAAGGTTTGGACATTTAATTGCAATCCCTCGCATTAGTCTGACATGCAGGTCTTCGGACTGTGGGGGGAACCAAGGTACCCGGAGGAAACCCAAGCAAACATGAGGAGAACATGCAAACTCCACACAGAAAGGATTCAAACCCATGACCTTCTTGTTGCGAGGTGGCTGTGTTACCCACTGCACCACTGTGCTGCCCTGTTCTCATAGTGATGGATTACAAGCTTTCGCATTTGTCGGTAAATTGGTGAGTTTCGACCCATGTTTTCCATGAACAATTGAATTAACAAGTTTAAGCATCAAATAATGTGTTGCTGTAGAGTTTTCAGAATAGCAGAGGATGAATAGATGTTTTCACTCAGTACTTTTTGATCTTATCAGCATTTTCCAAAATATGTCAACTTTCCCAGAAATGGAGTTGTATTCTTCATGTTCTACAGGGAGCAATATTGATAAGAAGTTGTGTTTTCAATACAAGCATTAATGTAGCTCCAAACTGAGTGTGTCTAATGTCACTGGGGAACAGAAGCAGAAATGTCATAATCTTATGATTATGGAGTCAATCGGATCAGAGTGAGATCATGTGTTCAGGCCTACTGGCTTATTAATTCCATCAGTTGACAGCATATGCATGAGTGCATATGATAACAAAAATATCAGCCTTTGGAATTGTATCCATTTTTACTATAACTTTGTTTCATGTCAAGTTCTGGCCCACCAAAGCACAAGATGGAGCTTTTCATTGAGCAGAATAACCAAATGGTACAAAGCTGTATTTGGCATAATACCTGCTCCTCAGTATAAACAGGTGAACTGAATAGGCATATCTGTATGTCTGTCCGCCCATCCATCCGTCTGTACGTCTGTCTGAAATCAGAAATCAAGAGAGGACTTTACCAGAGTTAACAGAGATTGTTTACCACAATATGTAAACCAATTGTGAGTCTCAAACTCAGGAATTTCTCTAAAAACATCATCAATGTGTGAAAGCCTGTAAGGCTTTGGAGCTGCAATCTGATAAACAGATGAAAGAAAGTCGACGAATCAACTTGCGCCAGACTGATGAAGAGAGAAGAGGATGGAGATGGGATGGAACTGTGCATGATTTCAAGTATACAACCTCATCTGCGAAGCTACAATATCTGCTCAGATTCAGCCCAATGCTTCAAAAATTCATTATGCTACACAGTACAGACAGACAGTAACCTGAGCCATACTACCAAAGCAACCCAAGACTTTTCCAAGGCAGAAGAGAGGAATGTGATACATTGGCCAAGTCAGTAACTTGACCTGAAACTGAACATGTATTTCGCTCACTGATCGCAGAACAGAAGGCAAAATGCCCTGGGAACAAGAGGAACCTGAAAACAGCTGCAGCGAAGGCCAGGAATTGCATAATCAGGGAAGGAACCTGGCGTCTGGTGACTCCAGACTGAAGGCAGTAATGGAGTGCAAAGTGTTTTGTACCAAGTGTTGCAAATGACAGTTTCAGTTTATGATTATGTTAGTTTTTCCATTAACTCTCAAGCTCTTTACAATAGCGGCTACAAGATTCGCGCCGTATTTTGATGAAACCCTTAAAGTCTAATTTTATACATATCTTGATTATGTGTATTTTCAGGTCCTTTCTGGGGGCATGCTACAACATCCTGAAAATTGACTAACTGTTCAAGTACTGAAGGACCTAAGTTGCCTTGCTTTCATGAGAAAATACAGTTTGCTTTTCCCAATACTCAATGTAGTGCTGGTGCACTTTTTGTGGTGAATTTGACTTTGTCCAAACGTTTCCCTGAGGAACAGCCTATTCAGAAATGGACAAATAGACAAATTCAACACAACTTAGGAAGTCACAACCAGATAGTTCTGAAAAAGTGAGATTCATAGAATTTGGTAAATCCTAAAAATAAGATGATAAATGAAAAAAAAGAGAAATAAATAAATAAAATAAATACACTAACCCTCCCCAACAACTATGCACATTAAGACATGAAGAGGCCAGGAAGCATGAAACACGTTTGTTAACTAGAGGCACTCCTAGAGTGCAAACCTCCGCCAAGGCAGCACAGTCCAAATCTTGCTGAGTGGAAGCAAAGTTCAGTTATCGCATGTCATAGGATTTCAAGATGGCTGCTGTGGCGGCCATATTGTTTGACTGATCGCAGTGAAAATCAATAGGGTCCATCCCTGATGTAATAGCGACCCACCCACAAAATTTCAGAGATATCTGTTCATTACTTTTTGAGTTATCTTGTTCACAAACAAACAGACAAACAAACAAACAAACAGCACCGATCACATAACCTCCTGCCAACTTCTTTGGCGGAGATAATAACAGTTAAAGGTAAATTAATAGGGCTCCAGGGGAAATGATAGGGCCAGAGACCAAAGGTAAGCTCTTTGTTTCAATACGTCTCATGATTGAAACCATACAAATATATCCAAGCAAAGCATATTTTCCTGGCAGATCATGTTCACATCATACTTTATAAATGAGTGTGCCCCAAATCAAAGAAATGGCACCACATTTCACAGTGATCTGTTAGACATCTGCCACTAATACTGCTCAACATGTGGTCATCTTTGTTCTCAATCTGTAATCTCCTCAGCAGCGAGTGCAGTTCACTCACTTAGCTGGACTCATATTGCAGAGTTCATTCAGGGGGATGTGACAGATTTATGCGATTCACAGTAGAAATGATGCTAGTGTCAGTGGTTTGATAAGAATGAAAAAATAATCCAATTGAAATCTCAATAGTCTCATAAAAAAATACCCAGATGGATATCAAGGACTCTGCCTGAATTCACATAAACATGAGGTGCGGAAGTTCAATCAACTGCAATCATTCTTTTCCTCTGCAAAACTATGGGGAATAGAAATATTTGCAAAAAGTGCAAGTAATTATTATAATTATTATAATAGTTGTACTAGTTCTTAATGACCAAAAGAAAGGAGGGCACAAGAGACAGTAGTATGTAGTAATAGTGGTTTTAGTAGTAGTAGTTTTTTAGTATGACAGTCATAAAGTACTGTAATTAGCTATATGAATGTCAGTTAAATATGGGACATAAAGTGAAAAGTATTTGAAAAAAAGAAGCTGTCGGCCATTTTGTTGCAGTTCGGTGATGTCATATTTCTTGAACAACAATGTGATGTTTTATTCACTCTCAGTGTGACACCTGAGCCTGTACCGGTTCTGAATGGAAGCCATTGGACCCTGGACACTGGAGACAGACCGGAGAATCCAGACAAGAGAGAGGAACTCCATGCTTCCTGGCGCACCACTTTTCATCAGCAGATTAGTCATTTTATACATAAATATTGGGGCGTGGGAGAAGAGTTCATAAATATGGATCAGATGGATAAGAGTATTTAAATATGAATGCATATTGTGGCAGTTACCTATCAATCACAATTAATAATCAGTTTTATCACGCAATGCATTAATAATATTTAGCGTCTGTCAATTGCTTCATGTTCTTAATTATTAATTTCAAATATTATATTTACATAATATTTACAGCTTGATTGAGACACAGAGTACTTCTATTTTTAAAGCACTAATTATTCAGCATTAATAATTCATGAAGCATACGCTCATCACTGCTAAGTTTCTACTCTGTCCTTAAAATTATGAGGACACTACTAGGTCTCATAAGTTTGTTTATCACTGTTTTTTCCCGTCTACACTAAAATGCAATTTTTGCCATTTAATAAAGAATCTCTGTCCCTTGTTCTGCACAGTACATTTGTATCAATGTCTCCGGGTGCCCTTGTTTAAAAATTAATTAGCATGTCAATCTGCACTACACTTGGACGTACCCTCTTTCCTGTGATTCAAGCCAGGAGTCAGAAGGCCACAGACAAAAATCTGTGTGGAGCGCCTTGCCTTTTAACTAAGATTAGTTCAGTTCTAATGCTCTGCATCCTTTAAAATATGTATCAAAGCTGCCAAAATGCCAGCAGTAGGTATGTGGCAAGCAGGGGGAGAGCAGGGATTGGCTGATGAAGTTATCCCAGCTTCCAAGCACACAGCGGGCTGCTTCGGCCTGTTGTTTGCAAGCTCACCACCGTAATCAGGGCTTCTTCTCGCTGAAAGGAGAGGAAGGGAGGGTGGGGTACGGAGTTATCTGCCGTCTCGAGGCGAGGGTCTGGCTCATCGATCGCTCGCTCTCCATCTCTCCTCGGGAAGCACCGCTGAGAAAATCTTTATGAACTCCCGGGCCCGTCGGCCCCGCTTAAAACTCTGCCAGTTTAACAGCTGTGCGGAGTTGGGCCGGGGATAAAACACTTGGATGTGTGTGGCTTACACCACGGGGCGAGTCTTTATGAGGCTTCCTGTGTGGAGCCTGCTGCTGAGAGTGTTAATTGGCAGGCTATGAAGAGCCTCAGAACTGCCCTTCATGATGCAGGCCCAGACGTCAGGGAGACCGAGTGCTGATCCGACACCATCCCTCTGAGCACTGCTCTATCGCTGACCTCTGCTGCTGACCTGGGACCAGGAAAAGCAAGAAATATGGCGGTAACAGAAGAAAGTGGTTTCCTCTTCTGATTTTGTCCTTATTTTTATTTTAGCTCACTCTTTTGGGGGGCTGAATTTGGGAGACAAAAATAAAACAATGTAGTGCCAATCAACATGGATATACTGAGGAGAATCACATATGGAAACTCTCGTGGCCTGAGTCAACTCTAGGAAAGCTGTTTGCCTTCTGAGAGCACTCACGGAGAATAGCACAATGTGAGTCTATAGAGATGGAATGAAAGCTTCTTCCTGGGCTTAACCCTAATGGTACATAAAATGTACCCCTGCTCAGTGGTTGAGTAATTAAATTGAACATTTTTTTGCTTCTAAGAATAGAGATAGGTGATAACTTGAAGGAACAAATCTAAATGCTTCACGAGTTGTACAGCATGATACAATTAAGTAATTAACATTTCACCTATCTTCTGACTGTTACAAGTATAAAAATGGAGATCTGGCCCAGTTCATCTCAATTCTGGATCAAAATGAAAAAGGAAATGATCCCCTCAATTCAGAAACAACTTCACATTTGAGATTCGGTGAGGCAAAAACCATTTGCAACAGTCCGCATGGATATTCAATAAAGAATCACAGTCAGATGAACCATTCTTCAGCACGTTCGTGACAGGATGGTAACAGCATGTGTGGCATATGATCTGGCACAGGCTTCAGTGC